TGCATTCTTGTCAATGGAACTTACCCTGGAGAGAATCAGCACAGGAGAGGATCTGCACTTGCTTTCAGGAATTGCTTTCTGGTGGAGGGAATGGGGTGCTGGTCCCACTGGTTGCACCCCAAGATTTTTTGGCTGTTCCATCTTTTTATCTGAGAATGCAAGAACAGCTGATAATGTTTACCTTCTTTTTACCCCTAATCTCTATCCTTTGCAGTAGCAAACCTGCACATGGTTTAATTAATCTTAAAAAACCTCAGACAAATGAAAATTAAGGAGCCATTTCTCTTTTCCTTTCTAACTGTGCTTGCTTCTCCCACAATTTCATTTCATCACAGTGAAATTTGCACTAGCATTTTCCCCAGTGGTGATAAATGTGTTTTGCATAAATACTGGAACAATATTTTTGCTTGTTGTATGCAATCTAGGGAGTCTTTCTGGACTATTTGGTGGGTTATAAATACAAAAATTAAATACATACATACATACATGAAAGTGCTCTAGAAAAGATTCTCCCCACCCCTAGGTAACCTCAATGGCATGGAGAACCTTTCATCGAATCCAACTAGTTCACCAATTATAGCCATTCCTGCACAGTGAATCTTACCTACAAGGATTGATGCTATAGCAACATTCCAATTGGTATATTGTAGCGTGTTACCTACTTGGCTGACTCTAAAGAAAACGCAGAAGTGCCAATTAGTTCAGTATTCAGCAGCAAATATGCAGGCTGATCTGATTAAGTGGAACCATTTCACACTAATTCTGAAAGAAGTGCATTGGCTGGATATTCAGTTCAGTGTGCTGTAGGTTACTTTTACAGGCCTACATGGCGTTGGATCAAAAATGTGAAGGAACACCACCTCCCAAACCATCCTGCCCATGTATTAAGTTCTTCAGATGAGGTCCTCTTCCCAGGAGCATCACTTGGTGAACACACAGGTGAGGGGCTTTGTAGCAGTGGTCCCCAGCTTGCCTGTGTGGTCCCAAAAGGCGTGTGAGGTAGGAATTGTGCTTCAGCTCAGCAGGTGTGGGTTGAGTCAGTGCTTGGAGGCAAGACCCCTGGGGAACTGCACTGACTTCCACAGTGGAAGAAAGGTGGGAGAGGAAAAGCGATGTAAAAGTTCCTATCCTTTTATGCACTTAAAAGGGGTACCAGTACTGCTAATCAGCACGACAATGTTTAAAGTATGATTTTTGTATGATATTATTCATTCGTGACATTTCAAATTTGCCCAAGAATAGATGTTGTCTGATAAAGATCTACGCTATCCTTTTATCTGGAAAAAGTTAGGCACTCCCTGATACGTGTAAACCCTTGGATTTCCATTTTGCCGTAAAGGAGCATGCAGAGGCTTGAATCGGCCCGGCTGATATGAAAAACAAAGTATTTACATTGGTGTGTGAGTCGCTTGTATCACAGGGACAGGTACTTTGTAACTTTTCTCAAGAGGGAGAATGGAATTTTCTTCTCCATGCAACCCAAACTAAATATTTCTGACAACTAGAGTACAGCCGCAATTGGAAATTCACAGTTCACGTAATAACCAAGCATTTTAATTTCATGAGCTAAAGAACTGGCTTCCCCTTGCAGATTACTCTGAAGAAAGCTGTACTGTCAAAAGCATTGGCATGGTGCATCTTGAGATAAATCTCCAGATTTTTTAAAAACTCCCCTGCATTACTTGTGCCACTGCATTTTTTGGATATAGCATAAATATTAATTAAACCTGTCATTACATTCCTCCTCACAACACTGTGTTTGGCATGTCTGTCAGGAAACTGGCTGTGACATATGCAGGCATGTGTGACAGCCCAGTGCTGCCATTAAAATACGACGTGTGAAGTCAGAGTGAGCTGTATAGCAAGCATTTAAGCCTATATACAGACAAACAGAAACTTTAAAGGGAATGTCCATCCTTAGCTCCTCCCCAGTCCTTGTCTTCCTTCATAAACTATGTAAAGGCTGGCAAAACAAGTACTTCTTGGAGCTGAGACCTTGGCAGAGAAAGTGCTCTGAATGTCCTCCTTCCAGACAATTCTGTATGGAAAGTCAGGCCTCTGGGCCAGATCAATCCTGCTAAGGATCCATTCCAGCCCTTGAGGTTCTTCAGCTGGCAATGCCCTCTGTGATTAGCCGCATCCCTTTCTGCTGACTCCTCTGCATTTGGAGGGCTTTCACCATTTGCATGCCCCTCACAGATCCCAGAAGATTGAAGTTTTTCTTTGAAAGCTTAGTGACTGGCAGTAATAGCTTTACATTAAATATGTGGAGTTTTGTTGTGTTTTGGCCCTGCACATTTGCCTTTGACTCCACCCACCACTGGAATGAAGGCCTTGTAAGCATCTCCAAAACTGAACGTGGTCTTCGGGCTGACAGGGCTTTCCCATCTTTGCAGCAGAATGAAAATGTCTGAGAGGAGAGTGGGGATGTATGGCCCCTTCTCTGTGCAGAGAAGCTTGTGAAGGAGCCTGCGCTTGTACCAAGAGCTTGCATCTAGGCATGGCAACACGGCGATGTGGGACTCAGACATGCGGCAGCAGTTTTGGGATGGCAACAATCCCACTGATGTAAAAGTTGAATCTAGGCTCCGTATGTTGAGTTGAAGCAAACCACGGAATACTGGGGGCGGGGGGGGGCGTGTTCATGTGTTTTGTTTGTTTGTATGTTTTTTATGTTTGTTTTTTTGGTAATGTGTTCACTGCTATGGCATATAGTAAGGGTTTGGTCAAGTCTTATCTTCCAATTTTCTGTCATTTCTGGAAAACTCAGCTTAGTTTCTAACTCCTTGACTAAAGATGATGCCAATATCTAAAGGAGGATATCTAAAAAAGAACAAGACTTATATAGGTTAAACTGTTTTAAATGGCCCATTTTTATGTAAATGAGAATATCCTGGAGGGATTCACATACCCAGGAATGCTAACTGGACTGAAATAGCCAAGAAATCCATCACAAAGAGTTTGCTACTTGTCTGAAGTCACTAAAGTAGGATGTTTGCCAATACAAACATCATACGTATCTACCACATTGCTTCATACTGTTTCTCTTAAACATCTATATCTGGAGCAAACATGCACTTGTGAGCTAGTCCATTGAGATGAGCTATATATGCAGCTTATATATGCAGCTTACATAAACCAGCACCAGGTGTCCTCTTGGAAACAGTTGCAACTCATGATCAACATATTTTCTCTCATGAAGGCTGCCCCTTCTATACATGGTATTCTTCTATTGCCCAAATCAGGAAAGAAAAGGAAACACGAACTTGCTACAGAAATATGCAAGCAAACAATGAAAGAAGCAAGGGAACATTTGGAGGAGCACAATAACAAAATCAATGACAACGTTACATAATCTTTCAAATATATCAGAAGAAAGAAATGAGTCAAAGGGGCAGTTAGACCACTGGATGATAATGAAATTCACTCCTTACACAACTCTGTGGTGAAACCACACTTTGTGTGCAGTTCTGGTCACCACACCTGAAAAAGGACTTTCTTGAGTTGGAAAATGTGCAGAAAAGTAACACTAAAATGATCAAGGGATTAGAGCAACTCACCTGTGAGGAATGATGACAACACCTGGCATTGTTGAGCCCAGAAAAAGCTAAAATAGAGCAAGGGAAGACATGATGGAGGTGTTTAGCATTATGCATGATGTGACGAACAAGGGAGACATTTTTCTCCCTATCCCATAGTACCAGAACTTAGGGTCGCCCTATGAAGCTTATTGGTGGGAGATTCAGAATAGATAATGTTCTTCATACAGCACAAAAAAGTAACCATGGCTACCATTTGGATGGCTCCAAAGGGGGTTTGGACAACTTCATGGAAGAAGAGGCTATCAGTGGCTACTAACCGTATAGGCTGTGTGCTACCTCCATTACCAGAGGTGGCATACCTGCAGCCACCAGCCAATGAGGAGCTTGGGCAAGTGGAATGTTGCAGAATCCTGTGGGCGGATGGTTCACCACCATGTGAGCAGAGTAATGTGCAGGATAGGTGGATGGTCTGAGCCAGCATGGATGTTCTTATGGTCTTATTTATTTATTTATTTATTTATTTATTTATTAGATTTATATCCTACTCTTTTTTTTCTTACAATGAACTCAAAGCAGCTTACATCACTCTTCTCCTCCTGGTCTCTATGAAGTAGGTTGGGCTGAGAGTCTGACTGGCCCAAAGTCACCCGGTTGGCTCCATGGCTGAGCGGGGACTCGAACCCAGGTCACCAGAGTTCCATCCCTGTGCACTTAATCACTACACCACACCGGCTCTCGTATGCATTCTCTGCACCACAGTAGCCCTTGCCCTATCTCCCTTTATTTTATATTGCTTGTTTCCAGTTCTTATCCAAAATAAACTCTTGTCAGTAAGAATGCCCATATTATGTTCCTTTTTACACTCACCTTTTCCAAACTTCAATTCCTTCTACTATTTCTTTTTGCATACATTGAAATGTAAGCTTCTTGGGGCAGGGCTGTTTTTATTTTCAGTCTCGTAAAGAGCCATTTCCCCTCCTGGAGTTGTAAAGTGCAATTGGTTAGCTACGTTTCCCTTTTATTCCATAAGCTATTTCTGACATCTGGTGACCACTTTGGTATTATTTTCCTGTTCCATCTTGCTTCATGTGAAACACCTCTCAAAACCGAATGAAAGTGTGCGTTTTCCATAGAGAAGCCTCTTTGAGGGGCCTGCATTTTCTGTGTGCAACTGTGTAAGCACAAGGACAGGAAAGAAAAGTTGGGAAATTGGGTTGCTCTTCAGCGTTCTCCATGGAGCTTTCAGGGATGCACATAGCACAATCTGTTGGACGGGAGACACAATAGGCCATGTAATTTTACAGTGGCTGTGACATTTCAAAGAGCAGGATGATTTAAATTGCCTGAAAAGCAATTCACTTAAATTCATTCTGACATTGGTTGGGCAGTACATACGGATGGGCACGTATACGTGGAATGCCTTCATTTACACAATACGCTCATGTGTCCTCATTGCAGGGGAACACCTAAGAATCTGCCCTCAGGAATATACATGCTGCACATCGGAAATGGAGGACAAGTTAAGCCAGCAAAGCAAACTGGAATTTGAGAACCTGGTGGAGGAGACGAGTCATTTTGTGCGCACAACATTTGTGTCCCGGCACAAGAAATTTGATGGTGAGTAGAAAGTTATATTTGTTTAGTCGTAGAGACCAACTGCACAGTGATCTATACTGTTACACATGCATTAGTTGAGAATAGACCTGTTACTTGCTTATTACAGATTGTTCAGATAGATTTATCTGAGCAGGAGGAGGAAGAGGGAAGGGATGAGGAAATTGAAGTTCCAAGGTTACCCAACGAAGTTTCTCAGAGTGAGTGAGGTTCGGCCTTGTTTGGAAGGGGCTGAAGGGTTTTCAGAACAAGAGAGGTAGCATGTGTGAGACCCATTCCCTGAGCTAGTATGGAGGTGTCAGGAGAAACGAGCTGCTTAGTTAGACGGTCTCTGGCATTCTCATCATCTTTCCCTAAAGCGGCAAGATACACCATGAGGGTGGCGTCAGACACTTTCCTGAAAAGGAGGGACAGAGGGGAAGTTCTCAGTTTGGATTCAACTCTGCACATGAGCAGATGTGTCTCCCTCAACTTTGGTAGAAGGCTATTTAGAGGTAACACTGTTCTTGTATCTGTTAATTCAATAAAATAATTGCACTTCAAAGGATTGTCTTGAGTTTCATAACCAAAAGAAAAAGGGAAGGGCAGCATATGGCAGCTAGCTAAGCTGCACTACTACAGTTGGGACAGTAAACGGTTCGTTCGTTCGTTTGTTTAATCTCATGCAAAAGTAGCATGCCAGGGAAATGGCTGGGCTGTGATCCTTCTCATCAAAATGCTAGTTCTCCTGATTCACAACTATGCTTCTGTTCTTGCTTTAAAATAGGAGCAAATCAAACAATCGGTCCCTGACAGGTGGCCTAAAAGTTCCAATCTAGCAATAGCTAGCCACATGAAATTAGCAATGTCTTTTTACAAAGTTGTAGCAATGAATCCATTCTGCTGTCGGATCCTTAGGCTGGAATGCCCTGCTTAGGGCTGACTGCATATTCCTATCCAGCGCTCGCTGTGTTTGCCAAGGAATTGGAAGCACACTCAGTTGTTGCCCTCCTAGGGCAAGAGCTGTCTTAAAGCTGGCACTTGTTAATTGCAATAACAGCTTTTAATTACACTGACTTGTAGGAGTAGACTGCTGAAAGCCTGAAGACTTGCTTACTGTTTAAAGGAGTGGATGGAGGCAAGAAATCTACTTTGCTGCAGACCAAGTGCCTCTTTCTGCTTAGGACCGAGCTGAGCACTTTCATTTTGCAAACTAAACTGCAGGTGCTCTGGGAGCTTAGGCAAGCCCTGACTGCAGAACGCTGCCTAGCTTGTTTCCCCAGCAATATGCCAGCGTGCATCCCAAATGGTGCAAAGGTCCCACACCTTTTCTCGATGCAGACCATGCGCTTGGCTGCAGTCCATGACCAGAATACCGTCAGGTGTGGAAGGCCCTTGCCATATGTCATCATCGCAGGCACCCATATACATGTGCGCACACGGACACAAGCCATTAGAAACAGATTTGGGATGTTCGGCTTGTCTTTCCAGATATTAGAGCTCTTTTGTCAGTAATTTATACAAAGGGAAGAGCCTTCCCTAAATGCATAGAAATTTGCTGTAGTGCTTCACAGAAGGACAGTGGTGCCGGGGAGAGAGAGAAGCGTGTGCAGCTAATCATAATAATCTTTCTTATGAACAAGGACCTCCTTTTCTAACTAAACTGCCGGCGCATAGAAGAGCCTTAATTGTGGTAGCCCAAAGGGGAAACTTCATGGATGTCTTAGTCTACACTGGGAGGGCCATATGTAAACTTTTGCCATATTTCTGATGGGATTTGGAGCTTCTGGCTCCTCCTTCCCCCCGCCACCCCCAAATGCATATGTAAAATGTGAGATTTAACAATAGAATATGTATTTTAATTGCAAAAGTGATGTCTCCAACCAACTCATAGTAATGATTGTCACCTGGCCGGAGGCATTTACAAGTGATGCATCTTGAGATTTATGCCCTTCATTTTCTTGCATGTCTTCATGTCCTCCAGATGGAAAAAGTGATGCGGCATCTCTGTAAGAGCTGAGGTCCATTTTCCACCTCTTTTTATAGAAAGGGATGAACACACTGTGGGAATTTACTTTCTCTCCTTCGTTATGATGAAGTAACTTAGGAGGAAGAAATTGTGTTGATTCATGGAGAGATTAACAATGCTCCTCTAATTACACTGGAACAGTTTGTGCTTATAGTTCACGTGATTGTTCAAACATTGACCATCCCCCGGTGATGCAGAGCTATTATGGAACTTAGATTCCAAGTAATGCCATCTGCTTACCTTGAAGGGAGGTATGCCAGTCTCCTGTAGAACAGCAAAAGAAATGTGTTTCACTGCAATTACAGTGAAAATATAATTTAATGTCTATTCTTCTGCCCTCCACATGCTGACCCAGGGAAAAGTCTTTGACCAAGTTTTTTTTTAAACAGTATCTGGACTAAAAACATGCAGACATTGTGACAAAGTTGTTATTGGATAGCTTATTTTGTGGTATAGCAGCCAGGACATGACCTGTGTGTTTTCTGATGAATTTTGTGATACTACATGAGTTCGGATGTATTGGGGAAGGATTTTCATTATGGCAGTTTTGAAATCTTGAGGATCAAAGGGGAAATACCATTGCACTCAATGGAGCCTTTCCCCCTTTTTAATCTTCCCTGTCCTGACAACTGTGTGGAGGGAGGAAGCTTAAGAGCTATGGTCCAGTCCAAACTGGGGCTGCTCCCAGTTGCGAGACAGTGGGGGAGGCAATCGTGCCTAACTTAGCTCTGTGCAACTAAATTAATGCTTAGTGTGGCTCGCAGGGGTGCTGCAGTAGGAAAACATTCCCCTCTGCCCTTCTGGGCCTTTCCCACAGCCTAGTGCTTCTGCCTCTAGGCAGAACAAGCAGAGCTGCTAGTGGTCACCTGCAGTCCTTTCCAAAGACTTTGCTGCAGGAAGAGCCTGTGCATCGCACCCATCCCTCTTCTGATTCCATACCAGTTCTCTTATTCTGCCTGCTCTGGCAAACACGGCTGGAACGTTTGTCCACAGAAGGCAGGGGTGGATAGCTGTCGAAGGGCCAGGAGAGAGACTGGGCCAGGCTGCTGCAGCTGCGTGATGTCCTGTTGCTTTAGAGCCTTTAGGGGAAGATGTATGATATCTGGGTTGGTAGCTGGCACCCCCACAGGCACTCGGCCAGCATGAGTCATGACCTTGGAGCTCTGCAGCCTCAACAATCAGATTTTCAAAGTAAGTGTTTCTGCCGGTGCTGTACACCGAAGCAAGTAAACTGATATTCTTCCATTGCTGAAAAAATTTATGAGACAAAGAAGCATTACTCTTGCAGCATAATTGATTCACATCTATCCCCGTTGGTGTTCCAGGACAGGGCACAGTCTGAATTAGTTGGCCAGTGCAGAAGAACGCTTTCCACCAATGGACAAACAAGTGCATGTGTTTTTACTGTCTGGACTCCACGAGGCACACCTCAAAGGAGTTTAAAATATATTAGCCTCCCAGGGTTGCCATAACACTATCATCTTATTATCACCAATTCCCCCTGCATGGTGGCTTTGCTGAGCAGCTGTTTTGCAGTGAAGCCAATTTCATTTTTAAGTATTGCTCTATCAGCAGCTGAAACCAGCCCCACCAGAAGGGGTTTTGCTATGAATGTTAATGAGCAGGCAGGATCTGTTCGGTGACATTTCTTAACTAATCCTCTGAATAACTATGGGCAAATTGCAATGAGATTTTTATTTTATTTTTTTTAACACTGGGAAAACAATTAAAGGGAAGCTGGTTACTGACGAGCTGTACAGTGGTAAATGTGCAATACTCTGCATGAAGAGTGGCTGGCTTTTCAGTGTGAAAAGCACAAAGTAAATGATATTGCTATATAATGGATTCTGAAAATGCGTGCAAAATGCAGCTGTTGCAAAAGAACCTGACTGCAGAAAATCAGAGGGACTAACCCCACACAGGTTTTGGAAACATATTACATCCAATAGTCTGTGAGTCATGGTACCTAGCCTTTTTGTTCCTTTGTATGGGTTATACCAGGATATATAGTTCCCTTTCCTCTTATGTAAGATGTGTGGCTGGGAGAGGAGAAAATGTATCTTCCCAGTGAAGAGCTAGAATAAAATGCAATGTGGGATACATTGGACAGTATCATAAATGTTGTTACAGCACTTTGAGTGTAATCCCTCCTGTTTTTGCACCCAGAACCCCCATTCTGAAGGCGTAAACTGGGTTGGATATTCTGCCTTGAATGACATTTTAATAGCCTTTGGGTTGGTCTACGTTGCCTTCTGTAGTTTGAGCATGTGCCCCCTCCCCCTGGAACTTGAGCAGGCAAGGCTTTTGCATGGGTTGCTAATTAATAGGACTGTACAAGGCCGTTGGTGGTGGATCCTGAAGTCTAGAACATTATCAGGGTGAAGGTTAATGCCAGGGCTGAAAGAAACTTTGCTGGGCTCCTGTGTATTAAGTTCTTCAAGCAACCATTTGGAGGGGCCAGCTATGAGGCCTGAGTCAAGGTCAGGCTGAAGTCTTATGGAACCAGAAGCTCCAACACAGTCCATGTCTGGAAGATGGGCCAGTAACAAAAGACAGCCTCCCAGCGGAGGAAAGAGTCCGGATTCCATTTGCTGAGTTGCTCAGACTGAGGAATTGAACCAAAGGCAGCAGTTACATGGAGCCAGCCAGGTCCCTGCTGGTGCCCCTGCTCACCTGATCCAGCTGGGGTGAGGATCTGCATTTTCCCTTCTGGCATTTTCCTGCGTGACACTTCAGAGGTGGAAACAGCAGATTCATAGTTCTGATTTGTCCCAACGACTGAACCTCCCAAAACCGGAGTCCCTTGGTGACGTTCTGCCCTGTTTTTATAGTTTTGGAATATGCCTTTAGGTAGCATTAAAAATGGATAGATCTGTCAACTTTGGTTTCTTTTGGCTAATTATTTTCCCAAATTTAAGTTTACTTCATCTTGAATTTTTGTGTATTTATCTAGTCTTGTTTTTCCCAAATTTTGAAGGTTTTTTAACATTCACAT